TAATTTTACGAGTTATACAAAATAAAACATCCCGACCCAAAACTTATTCATTGAGCAAACATTGCGTGGGGTTTTTATAAATAGATCACCTTCATGAATAATTTGAACAGGGGTTTTAAAATCGACACTTGCTTTGTTGTAGCCCTGCTTCTTTGACTGTTAACGAGAAAGTGCGTTACACACCACAGGCAACCCATAAGAAACAAAACACGAACGGTTAATGATTTGAATTTAATCGGCTATCAGTTAACAGCGCCGATCTGGTCACAGCGCAGATCTGATTACACCTTATGTAATAGGAAACCGATCACAACAGAGGAAACCCACATAGAGCAAAGTTACTTTTCTTAAAAAAGCAAAAAAATATAGCCGGATTCCCTGTGTACTAGCTATATTGAATCTGACTGACTCAGGGACACAGGACCTAAAACCTCTACTTGGGCGTCCTGTGCTTTAACCAAATATGGTGGTGGTGACGTAATGTTGTACACGTGCGCAGTGGAAGCCGGTAGTTGAATTACTCAGCAGTCTAGAAGATCATTTGAAGAAATTTCGACCAGAAACTCAAAACTCTGACCCCTAAAAACCAAAAAATATGTCTCACCAGTAAGTATTCAACTCAAATTCTTCATCTTTAGTCCCTATTACACCCATTACCTATTAGCTTTTTCATTTTTCTTTACGTGTTTCGGAGATTTCTTTGAATGGTTGAAGGACAAAGAGAAAGCCTCGTGAGATTTCTTAACCGGTTCTTGTCTTTATTTTACCTCAAAAAAACTCCAAAAATACCAACTTTAAAACCCTAAATATGTAATCTTTAGATCTTGAGGCTGCTCTGTAGTCCGTATTCAGGATATTTATCTTAATTTAAGATTTAATTCTGTAGAATTACATTTTCTTACGATGGTTTTTAGTTCATTAACTCAACTTCCTGTGGACATTTTTTCTTTAATCTTTTTTTTCCAGAGACGAATTGGCCACCGCGATTTTGAAGAACAAAGCTCGTCCTAACCGACTTTTAGTCGAAGAAGCCATCAACGATGATAACTCTGTTGTCACGATGTCTCAGGTTGGTAAAAAAGCCAAAGTTTCATGAGTTATAATATTGATTTTCTTGTTGGAGAAAGAATTTTGCTGTGATGAGATGATGTGCTTACCAAGCATTTTGAAAGATGAAATGCTTTCGTTATTGAGGGGATTTTTTTTTATATCCTTGTTTAGGAGAAGATGGAAGAATTACAATTGTTCAGAGGAGATACTGTTCTTATTAAAGGGAAAAAACGCAAAGACACGGTAAAAATGTTTATATATATTAACTACGTCTCTTCATTTTAACCCAAAAATGTTTACCTGTAAGAGTTTTGAGTTTTCTAGATTTCAATGAAGATTTTCCCATTGTATTTCTTTACTCCAGTGTTATATTTTGACAATCAATCAGATTCCTACTGTATGACAAATGCTTTTAATTCATTCAGTAAATTAAGTAAAATTTCAAATTTTACAATCATCCAATCATAGGCTGCCAGCAGAATGATTGGGATTTTCAATTTAAAAAATGCTGAGTAATGACAAATAATAGCTACCCAGACTTGATTTATAAGGATATGTCCTTTCAAAGGACATATTAAAAAAAAGCTTAAAACATAATTTCTATAAACCTTTTGTCTTACTATTTTGTTTACAAACTGTAAAAGCATCCAGTAAGTGGCATGGGTGATGTACGCTACTAATGCATCATTGTCACTGCTGAAGATCCAACAGTTAATAAATAAAATAAATAAATAAATAATAAATGGGATTTAGCAGTGGCATTTCTACAGAGTAGCTATTCATCCACTGTCATTCCAAAGGGAATTTAGGAGTTGATTTTTGCGGAGGGAGGAAAGCCAGGGAACCCGGAAAACCCTCAAAGCGCAGGAGAGAACCAACAAACAACTCTACTCACATACGACACCAAGCTCAGCGGGGCTCAAACCCGGGTCGCATTGGTGAGAGGCGAGAAAGTTTTTTGTCGCTTGTTCAAGCCCTGTGCCAACTTTAAAGCCTACCATGTATTAATAAAATAATAATGTTTTTATTTTTATTAGTCCTTTTATAGTAGTTTTTCCTACCTATAGATATGGGTTTCTTAGTGTAACATTCTGAAGGCCTTATTTGATTCATATTTACCATACATAATATTTAGTGACTTGCAAGTGACCAGTAGGAAGGAGGGGGTCATGACCAATTTTGAGTCTCTCCTACTGGCTAAGTGTGACAAGGCCATTTCTTTATATTGTAATATGATTTATTTTACTAGGTCTGTATCGTCTTGTCTGATGACACCATTAGCAATGATAAAATCAGAATGAACAGAGTTGTCAGGCGCAACCTGAGAGTGAGGCTTGGTGATATCGTCAGGTAATAACAATGTCTTATACATTTCCTCTGTTTAGTCAACTATTTTTTTAACAACCAGGGTTTGCCCTAGGACTCTTAAGTCTGGGTTTTGCGACCAATTGAAGTACTCAAATTTGGTTCTCAAGCATTAATACAATAAATTCTATTTTATGAGGGTGACATAATAACCCCAGGAGTTATTTCACTTACTGCTCTCACAAACCCTTGTTGCTGTCCCAACACACTAACTGGGACCACTTGAATAAAACTGACCAATCAGATAACAGTAAACTAGACAGAGATTGATCTGATAACAGCGTTAGCCAATCAGATTATCACTTGCTCACACTCTTATTACATCAATGGGCTATCTGATTGGCTGATTAAAAATATTGAACTAAATGCTGCAATATGATTGGTTAATGATACTAGTTTATCAAAGTGCTCCCGGTTGGAGTATCCACACAGTAATCGCTTATCACTTATTATATCGATGCGCTATTTGATTGGCTGGTCAAAAATATTGAACTAAACGTTGCAATATGATTGCTTAATGATACTAGTTTATCAAAGTGGTCCCCGTCGGAGTATCCGCAAAGTATCCGCAAAGTAATAGAAATTGATTTCAATTCACTTTGTTATAAAACAGTGTGCAGTCTTGTCCAGATGTGAAATACGGCAAGAGGATACATGTTCTTCCATTTGATGATACAGTAGAAGGTCTCACTGGGTAAGTATATATATATATATATATATATAGAAAACCAGGTTATTTCACTTCTCTCAGCTCAAATGAATTAGCCAGACAGCAAACATTTCGTTCGTACATGTAGCTCAATATTTCCTGGTTCCAGGTTTTCAGTTCAATAAACATCTTTTACTTAAAAATAATTCTTGCCCCTTCAAATATAATATAATTCATCCGTGGAAAGATTAAGATTTTTTTCAGAAATAGCTGTGACAAACAATGCATTGAGCACCTAGATTCCAAATCTGCAGAAGAGCTGTCTTTTTATATTGACATAAGTAATTTCTCCAAGTTTATCTAACAGTTATCTAGTTAACTAATGCCGTTTCTTTGTAGAAATTTGTTTGATGTTTATCTGAAGCCCTACTTTGTCGAAGCCTACAGACCAATCAGGAAAGGTTAGATTACTTTTTGTTTTAGGCAGTTTAATTAATCTCTTAGTTGGGGACTCAAAGGGAATCAAATGTTGTGCGTCATCATCAAGGTTTTAAGTTATGTTTTTTGGGGTCCAATGCTGTACTCACAAAAACCAAAAATAAAGGAAAACATGTTGTCAGCAATTGAACTTCTACCTGAAAAAGATAAAACTTTGGGCAGCAACTCCTCTAATGAAGTAAAAATCTTTATAAAATTGCTTTTCGTTTTGGGCCTCACTTAGATCAGCCCAGAGATTGTTCCAGGGTTTGATCTGTGAGTTAGCCGTGCCCTGACTTAGATCAACACAGAGGTTGTTTCATGGTTACATCTGTGAGTTAGCCATGCTCTGACATACATCAGCCCAGAGGTTGTTTCAGGGTTCTATCTGTGAGTTAGCCATGCCCTGACTTAGATCAGTCCAGAGGTTATTTCAGGGTTCTATCTGTGAGTTAGCCATGCCCTGACATACATCAGCCCAGAGGTTGTTTCAGGGTTCTATCTGTGAGTTAGCCATGCCCTGACATACATCAGCCCAGAGGTCCTTTTAGGGTTCAATCTGGGAGTAAGCCATGCCCTGACTTAGATCAGCCCAGAGGTTGTTTCAGGGTTTGCTAAAATTGAAGGTCCAAGATTTCAAACCTTGTTAATGTTTCTTCTTGTGTTGTAGGTGATGTGTTTCTTGTTCGAGGTGGGATGCGAGCAGTAGAATTCAAAGTTATTGAGACTGACCCTTCCCCTTACTGTATTGTTGCTCCTGACACTGTCATTCATTGCGAGGGTGAACCAGTTAAGAGAGAGGTTAGTAGCAGCTACAGAAAATCCCTTTTACTGGGAGTGATATGGTTTTAGAATAATGTTATATTATGTAACCTTTCTTATATTTTAGTTTAGTTTACTTTCTGTCATCTAAGAATAAGTACAAAGTTCTGTGCAACACTTTAGTGAGAGTGTCAACCGTTTTCCTTCAATCGCTTTTACATTCAAGCCCCTTAACTACCATGCGCGCATGCCACACCCTCTCCATTGGCATATACATGTATACGGCCTTGACACCTATTTTTCACACCATGAACTTTCTATTCCTAGGAGCCCTGTTACATCATCTTTTTAATATTCTTAATGATAATATCAATTATGTATCTAAATGAGTTGATCTGCACAGTATATCGAGCAACTTATACAGCTGCTAATAATAAGACTCAGAAAAAATTCTGAGTCTTGAACGGGATTAATTCTCATAAACCTCAATTTTATCAATCAACTACCAATAGGAAGAAGAAGAATCTCTTAATGAAGTTGGATACGATGACATTGGTGGTTGCAGAAAACAGCTGGCACAGATCAAAGAGGTATGTCTGATAATGTCCTTTTTTCACATGGGTAGCACTTAATAGCCAGTGGCTAACAAACCTGTGGCCCTCATTCCGTGATTGAATTGGAATTTAGGAGTTGATTTTTGCATCGGGAGGAAAACCGGAGAACCCAGAGAAAAACTTTTGAAACACAGGAGAGAACCAACAAGCAACTCTACTCACACACAACACCGAACCCGGCGGGACTCAAACTCGGGTTGCATTGATGAGAGGCAAGCGCTCACACCRCTACGCCACCCATGTTTCCCTAATCCTACCTTGAAATCTGTTAAAAAATCCTTGATGAAAACCAGGTACAGTATGTTTTTCCACATTTTTAAGGGATTGATTCAAATAATATGTTGGTATTTATTTGACTGAGGGAGGGAAGGATAGTTTTCTTAATAATCACTAGATTGAAACTCTAATCAAAAATACTTCCATTTTAAACTTAATGTTGTGGTATAGAAGTTTAAATCCTGTATTTTTCGCTGTGCAGTTACATGTATAATCGTCACCTTACCCTACGTTCCAGAGGTTGTACCCCTTACTAAATCCACTGCTGGAAGGACATAATGAATGACAATAAAAAAAATTCAAGATTTCAATGGTAATAATAGTTTGGTTGAATAACATTTGTGTATTTTAATTTTTAGATGGTGGAACTGCCTCTTCGACATCCACAACTTTTCAAGGCCATTGGAGTAAAGGTATGACAGCCTTCTCAATGAAGGCCCATGCCAACAACACCCAGCATTGTTGGACCCAACATGTCAGGATTGTCAATAAAATTTTTGGTAGGCGGTTATGAAATTGAAATAGGCGGTAAACCGAAAATCACTGGAGCATGTAATCAAGGCATACTGGTCAACAGTCTCACTCTTCTCACAAAAATTCAAGATGGCAATAATAACATATTACTACCCTTCAACTTTGTCACGGGAGGAAAACATCTGATTGCCATCTCTCAATCTTTTAAAAACTATATTTATATTTTGTTGTAGCCCCCAAGAGGTATTTTGCTCTTCGGTCCACCAGGAACTGGAAAAACATTAATGGCAAGGTAATGGCAGATATCATTATTATATTATCAATAACTATTGATTATTAATTATTGATAACTATTAATAATATCCATAATTATATGTATATTGTACTCAGGCTGAGGTATTATTTTGCAAATTTGAAAAAGGGTACACTGTCTAAAAAATGGATATTTTACTTAAACTATTATTAATRAGAATACCGGTTGTTTCGCTACCGCGCACTTTCGCTACCGTCGGTTCGCTACCACCCAGAGTCCTTTCGCTACCATCATGAAGTCCTTTCGCTACCATTGGAAATTACCAAAACAAAACTTCGATGAGACTTGTTAAAAAGAAACATAGTCTGTTRAAAGACATTTGTATATGGTTTTGAAGCATATTTGGAGCGATCATTTCACATACGATCAGTGAAAGTGAAAGGGACCAAGGGACAGCGTTCACTTCTACCATATTGAGTCTGTTTCTACCATCTCATGACTCGGATGACTTTAATTCCCCATATTCTAATCTATGAAATGTGTGTTTTGGGTAGCTTTACTATTCTTTATCATTTTTTAACTTGCCAAAGTTCGAGAAAAATACAAAATACCTTATGCGCGAAACATCGATCGACAAGCGACGCCATATTGTTTTCGTGTAATCAACAAGCTTTTCCTAGTCGTTTACTGACGCTTTCTTTTCTTGAAATCCATTAGACTTTAATATTTGCACTAAAAAACTAAGACGAAATGATCTAGCGACTTTATCTGGAATAAATTTGAGGTCATTAAATATCTGATTTAAACGCAAAAAAGTTAACGATTGAGTGGAACGATCGAGCTCAGTTTACGGTGTTTCATAGGCTGGGGTCTTTTCGAAAACATTACGATATCTTTCTTCTTCATCGAAAAATCGAATGTTTAGGACATATTATTGCTTCTGGCTTGCCAAGATTCGAGCGAGAAAAACCAAAATATCTTTACGTTCRACAAACGACGCCATATCGTTTTCGTGTAATCAACAAGCTTCCTAGTTGTTTACTGACGCTTTCTTTACCTAGAATCCATTAGACTTTATTCTTTTCACTAATAAAGTTAAAGGAAAAGTTATGGTGCTTTTAGATAGATGTCGTGTGTTGCTGAATCTGACATCTTCAAAAAATATGATTTTAGACAAGCTCACGAAAACAATATGGCGTCGTTTGTCGATCGATGTTTCGTGGAACGTGCAGAGCTCTTCTGTGAGGTCGGCTCCACGTGTACTACCTCTACATTCTATATTTACAACATGTACTGTATGACACTCAACACACATGTTGATTTTTTATGGTGGAAGGGGACCGGAGAGCCCACAGAAAACCATTGTGGCAAGGGAGAGAACAATGCATCAAACAGGTTTACTGCACACTGACTTCCACTACATTCACTAAAATAGAGTACTAACGTGACAACATCACAGAATTACAAGTATTTTATTTGTATGGGGATTTTTGGAACTTGAATGGCAAATATTTTTCTCTAGAGCTGTGGCTAATGAGACTGGTGCATTCTTTTTCCTCATTAATGGTAAGTAAACTATAATTTCCTAATTAAAGAAATGTAAAACAGTTTTCCATGTTGTATACTCTGATCAAAAATATAGTAATATAGGTGTAATAATATTCAATATATAAAGCGCTATTTACAAATTATACATAGTAAAACAGCACTAATTATACTAAAGAAAAAATAGAAATAAAATTCACAAGCAATAATGATAACTTACAACATGCTGTTTCAACTATTGCTCATGAAAAACACATGGATTACTGAAAGATCACAAGGGGAGCATAAGGAAAGCATGACATGTCGTGGAATTTTTCTATCGTATTAGCTTGGCTAATCTTATCCTTTCTTTAAGGTCCTGAGATTATGAGTAAGCTGGCAGGAGAATCAGAAAGTAACTTGAGGAAAGGTAAGAACATATAAAGCCACCCAAGACAGGGCTTATAAGACGGGACAAATTACTGACGGACATCTGGGCCCGGTTGTATGAAGGATGGATAGCGCTATCTAATGGATAATTCCTTATCCCTTGGATAAATCGATGCTGTAATCCAATGAATTTATCCATTGGAAAAGATTTATCCATCGGATAGCGCTATAGGCCCTGATGCCTAGTCTGCCCAGAATTAGAACTTGTATAGTCAAATCTTTGCCTAGCCATTTTTTTTACRACCAGTAACTTAGAGCCAGACAAGGTATCACCAAGCTAAAACTTACTTGGCCAGTCATTATAAACAGCAATTTACTGGCCGTTATTTTATGGCCTGTAAGAGGTAGTCATTTTCTTGATATTTCTCTATGATTATTTCTCTATCATTTGTGACATTCTTATGCCTTTGCTTTTATCAGCCTTTGAAGAAGCTGAAAAGAACGCTCCAGCAATTATCTTCATTGACGAAATTGATGCTATCGCACCTAAAAGAGACAAGGTAAAAACTCAAATCCAGTACTGTAAAGATTCTAGTGTCATGTGTTATAGTGCCTAGAGAATAAGATTTGTTATCTGAGTTGTATCCACAATGAATTCATGTTACAAACATTAAACAAAGAAATGATACTCTAGGGAATGACACAAGGTCTGTAATGGGAAATTATTGCACGAAGACAAATTAGGTCTATAAATAAGATAATATATAAATAAATAACTAACTATAAATAACTCTTAATATTTTGTATATTTGACAGACCCATGGAGAGGTTGAACGACGTATTGTGTCTCAGCTCCTAACCTTAATGGACGGCTTGAAGCAGAGAGCACATGTGGTTGTCATGGCAGCCACCAACAGACCTAACAGTGTGGACACTGCTCTACGTAGATTTGGTTAGTAGACTTGATACCATTCATTCATTCATCATTACCGCCATGAGATGTCATTTATATAGCCACTATTTTGTTTGACATTGACAACTGATTTTTTTTGGTGTCTTTTTGTTATGTCAACCAACATGACGGCCATGCCATGTCTTTTCTCCCTGTGGGTGTGGTGCCATAGCCGCCATGTACCAACATTGCGGCATTGGCATGTCTTTTGTCCCTGTGGATGTGATGTCACAGCCRCCATGGACCAACATGACAGCCATGCCATGTCTTTTGTCCCAGTGGGTGTGGTGCCATAGCYGCCATGTACCAACATCCCGGCATTGGCATGTCTTTTGTGCCTGTGATTGTGATGTCATAGCCACCATGTTGGTTGACTTGAAGAAAAGATTTGGTCTTGGTATCAGTATCTTTCGTCATGTCAACCAACATGGCGGYCAAGTCTTTTGTCCATTTATTCTCACGGGAAGGGACTGTATAGACCCTTCACTGCAATACTCCAGTTTCAAATTATTTAACAATAAATAATAAGAAATAAATAAAAAGAAATAAATATCTGTTGCTCAGCATTAGCCTCGATATTGTGCAGAATATTCACATGTTCCAGTGAAAGTCTGTAAAGTGTTTGTATTATTGAAGTTGCGCCTTCTTTATCTTACCGTTTGTACAAGCATTAAATGAGGCTTACCCTGAGTAAATAAATCTTTAATCAATAGTATCTTTACTTTTCATCTTCTAATTGGATGTTTCCAGGACGTTTTGATCGTGAAGTAGACATAGGAATCCCTGATGCTACAGGACGCCTAGAAATCCTCCGAATCCATACCAAGAATATGAAACTAGCAGATGATGTTGATTTAGAACAGGTGAGCCATAAGATCCACGTCAATTCAATGTGTGTTACAAAAAAGTACAATAACGTGTGACACAGTATTTACCATGGTCAGTATCCTTACACGTACAGTAGCTAAAATTCAATTTTCTAGACATGCCATGAAATAATGAAAATTAATTTTTTTCTGGTCTGGTATCCTAAAAAATTGTGCATTCTGATTGGCTGTTTCTTTTTGTATGCTACGAAAAAGTATAATAACCTTGGCCTGGTTGTACGAAGCCTGGATAGCAGTATCCAGCAGATAAATCCTTATCCAGTAAATTTATCCACTGGATAAGATTTATCCGTTGGATAGCGCAATCCAGGCTTCGTATAACTGGGCCCAGTACAGTATTTACCATGGTCAATATCACTACACCTAGACAAAATTCTATTTTCTAGACATGCCATGAAATAATGATAAGGCCGTGTTTAAATGCCAAATTTCACAATTTTATTACTGTAGTGACAAATCTAATGCAAGGAAAACCTACAGTATTGTTTAAATAGCGCAGCGCACTGATACTAGAAATAGCTTAAAGATTTGGACAAACATTGCACTCTGTTTAACCGCTACGARGATCATACGAACCGATTTTATTATTTTTACTTAAAGTAACAATAATAACCCATGTAAACTAAGATCAACTGCGATCGGCTGTGAAAATTATCTGCTGAAAGTAAACTTGTAAGTTTGTTTGTCCGAATTTCGCCTTTGTCTTTGTTTTTGTGACATCACGGTTGCACTGTGCTATTCCTTTGGGCCTAAGAAAAATAAAATAAAAAACATATATTTCCTTCTTTAGATTGCTGCTGAAACTCATGGGTACGTTGGTTCTGATGTTGCGTCATTGTGTTCAGAGGCTGCTCTTCAGCAGGTATGTTTGAAGCCAGTCCCAAGAGAATTTATAAAACCATGATACCATCAAACTCTGGGGCTTTTCCATTGCTTATAAAATAGAATATTCAGTTGATCTAACAAACACAAAAAACCATGTATTAGTTTATAGTTTACTTCCATTGTCAGTCAATATGTTACTGTATGCCACACCACGGCTGCAAATAAGTGTCAGTTATTGGACAAATATCCTGTAAGAATTTATGACCACTTTACTGGTAAAAGATTCAACTTGGCTGGACATTTGACCAGCCACACTTGGGATTTAACAGGTCAAATAGAATACTGCTCTGATAAATGACATACTTATAAATAAATAAAAGATCATTTGCAGCCTTTTGTCTATATCAGTTATTCTCTAACCTAGACTAATTACCACTTATTCATTTCTTCAGATTCGTGAGAAGATGGACCTTATTGATCTAGAAGATGAAACAATTGATGCCGAGGTGCTGGACTCTCTAGCTGTAACAATGGATGACTTCCGAGTAAGTACTTTTTTACCACTATCATTGTGAATTTTCTTGCTTTCTGATTGTTCTAGAGCCGGGGAAATAGAAGGACATACCAATGAATTATGTCAGCAAATCATGTTCATGCTTGAAACTGTTTTTATTTTTTTTATTTCAAATTTTTAACCTTGTTTTCGTAGTGAAATTGTTAATTTTCTGTGATAAAAAAAATACAATTTCCTCCAGTTTTCTGTTGTGTCCTCTTTTTTACCCCTTTTTTCATCATCTAGCTGTCAAAATATGTTGTGGACTCCCCTGGCTACTCCTTGAGTCCACAACATTCAACCATTTCTAAAGAAAAAGATGCTACCTAACGGTTAACAAACAGTTGACATAACCAATTCTGTTACTAATAAAACCTTTGATCCACTTTAATCTTTAGTATTCAATGGGTGTGTCCAATCCTTCTGCTCTGCGTGAGACAGTCGTTGAAGTACCCACGACAACCTGGGAAGACATTGGTGGCCTTGATGGTGTCAAGCGTGAGCTACAAGAACTGGTTCAATACCCCGTAGAACACCCAGACAAGTTCCTCAAGTTTGGCATGACACCATCCAAGGGTGTGCTGTTCTATGGCCCCCCTGGTTGTGGTAAAACTCTCCTGGCTAAAGCCATTGCCAATGAATGTCAAGCTAACTTCATCTCCATCAAGGGACCTGAGCTGTTGACGATGTGGTTTGGTGAATCTGAGGCTAACGTTAGGGATGTCTTTGACAAGGTATGTTACTACTTGAAATTTATAAATTGGCCAATGGTTAGTAAAACACATTTTTACAATGACTTACGCACACTGATCAGTTATTTTTTATCATCAATAAGAGGACAGACAGACAAAGCTGACGTCAACAAGCATGCTCTCTTTCCATTAGTTGTTTTGATCAGTAAAAATGAGAAGTTTTTATCGTTTTTGTTATTGTAAAAAAACAATTTTACAATAACTTACAAATTTCTCTCACGCTGATTGGTTATTTTTGACCACTAAAAATGAGARGTTTTTATCGTTTTTGTTATTGTAAAAAACAAATAGACATCAGTTTTTGATGTGTCTGTCCTCTTATTGACAATAAATTTCGTCATCACATTGTCAAAGTAGTGTGCGGATCCACTCAGTTACGCCTCATGGATCCACACTACTTTGACAATTTGATGACGCACACCCAAGGTTTAATTATAATTCTAAAGTGTTTTGACTAATTACTGGTATGTCTTTTTCAGGCTCGCAGTGCCGCTCCCTGTGTACTCTTCTTTGATGAATTGGATTCAATTGCCAAATCCAGAGGAGGTAATGTTGGTGACGGTGGCGGAGCGGCTGATCGTGTCATCAACCAAGTCCTTACTGAAATGGACGGCATGAATGTCAAGAAGAATGTATTTATTATTGGTGCAACCAACAGACCTGATATTATTGATCCTGCCATCTTGCGACCTGGTCGTCTGGATCAGCTTATCTACATCCCTCTTCCTGATGATGCTGTAAGTTAATCTTTTAACAGATTTTTTTTTGATTGCTTAATTTATTTTACTTTAGTAAAAATACACAGGTGATTATTGAAAATCTCGTGCGCTGATTGGTCGAGAAACTCACACTATTACACGGTAATCACCAAAATGGCGGCCGGCCACTTTGTTGCTGTTAACGGGAAAAAATGTGTTTTATCTTCTTTTTTTCTTTTTTTGAAAGAATCACCTGTGTATTTATACTAAAACAATTATTCACCTCAGCCTCAGTGAATATCGGGGAATATTTACCTCATTGCTCGAAGAGTCACGTCTCTGTAAGTGTTCCCCGATATTCACTTCGCCTTCTTTGAATAATTGTTAAATAATAGGCCAATGTTTGATATCTTGAAATTCAGACTTGAATTTTCAAGGCTTTAGTTTTAATGTAATCCCAGAACAAGAGGCTCCCCCTCTCCTTAGAAATTCTTGATCTAAACCCCCATCCCCCCTCTTCTTGGATTTTCAAAATGCCACTTTTGTAGGGGTATCAATATGTCCTAAAACTAACCATTACTTAATAATGCGTTAACTTTGAAACTACTTGAACACTACCCAAAGACAGGCAAAATCTTGTTTTCGCTTCAAACAGAGTCCAGTTGTTCATTTGGAGGATTGTGCTATCTGATGGATGAATCATATCCAGTGGATAAATTTATTGGATAACAGCAAAATCTTATCCACTGGATAAGGATTTATTCATTGGATAGCGCTATCCACCTTGTTCTCCACCCTTCATACGATGCACCAGGCTAAAGACGATAATTTATTATCAGTGTTTAACACCTGTGTTTCTTAATTTTTCATTTCAGTCAAGAATTTCCATTTTAAAAGCAAACCTCAGAAAATCACCCATAGCCAAGGTAATGAGAAGTGYCTTCATCAATTAAGGTTTAACCTACAATTTTGGACAAAAATGTTGAGAAACTCTTTGATTAGTTCTAATGGATGTTTTAATGTAAAAACAAATTCATGTTGTTTACTGGGTCCAACATTGTTCAATCCAAACATTTTTTTAACGAGGGAAAACTCTTCACTATTTTTGTCCAAGATTGCAGTATTGTTTACTCTGACCTCTTTCCTGGCCCCACCTTGAGAGGGTTTGGCATCTTAACCATTGCCTTTTATATTTCAAATTGGTCAGCTGAGTTGAACTTGAGTGATTAAGAATACATTGAATCTTTGTTTTCAGGATGTTGAGTTGGAGTACATTGCTAAGGTCACCCATGGATTCAGTGGTGCTGACTTGACAGAAATCTGCCAAAGGGTAAGCAAGAGTTACCCTAGAGTTTAAATTTAAAATTTTACATTTTTACTTCATACTGTACATATAAGGTTTCCTTCACAAGCATGTTACAGTGCAACTACTGTAACCAGGGCCACTTAGACCAGGCAAGAAAACCAATTAAAATGTATGTAGAATGAAAACAATGCATTCCAACTTTGGGTAGTGGAGCCAATAGGAAACCTAGAGTACACAAGAATAGTAATCAATATGACCTGATGCACTTTGGACATCATACTATGCCACTGTGTTCCTTGATTACACTCATTTACTCAGGATTAGCCCCATTTCAGTGTCCAAATATTCACAAATACAAAGGTTTAAGTAAAGAATGCACAACTTCAATAATAGGAACACAATTCTACAGATCTTCACTGTARCATGTGAATGTTAGACACAAAAGTTAAGGCTAACCCTGATTAACAGAGAACTCGAAACTAGAGTATTAATGCGCTGCTTTATTCTATTCGTACACAGGCATGTAAACTAGCAATTAGAGAATCTATTGAAATTGAGATCAACAGAGATAAGCAGCGTGCAGAAAACCCTGATCTAGACATGGTAAGATACACCTTGCTTATGACCTTGTTCCAATAATACTGACCTCTTCTCCAATTAGCCTTATGACATGAATACACAATGCATTGGAAAACTTGCTTGCATATATTTAGTACACCAAATAACTTAGAGTGTAACAGTTAAAGGAGACAATTTCACACAGTAATTATTTTTTTAGATGCAAAATGTGACATCATTTCCAGCCCTGATCATATTAATTCCAGCCCTGTAAAGAATACAATACTTAAAGGGAGAAAAAAATGTAAAATGCTGCCTGACTGCATGAGAAACACATTCCTTTGCTTTTGTGGAGTCATATATACTTATTTCAATAAAGTTAGTCATCAAAAATTTAGAAAGCTGTGATCGCTGAGAATCATGGGGAAATGTTATATATCCAACAAGTAAAGCTTTTGACACAAACTGCAGCAGTTGGGGATGCTCAGAGGAGGTTAACTTTTAACTGGTAGAAGATCTCAAGTCCATCAACAGTTATCAAGCGGTTGAAACATGTTAAATGTATCTACCCATAATCCTTGTCAACCTCAGCATTATAGTTTTTCAGGTGACTAACTTTATTGAAATAAGTATATTTATGTCTCTTGAAACACTTTTTGTTTTCCTCACATAAAACCACGGTTTTGTTGATGAACTCGGAGACCCATTCAACTATTTTCAATATCATAGTGTGTCTTTGAGGTGTTCACGTCTCGACATATTGAATGTAAGGATTTCGGGTGAAACATGTAGATTTGAAAAATTTCATCATTCTGATGAAGGCTATCATTAGTTATAGCCACAACCTCTTGTTTTTTCAAATCTATGCGTTTTATCCGAGTCCCTTACTTTCAATTTTCAAAATTTGTAATTAACAGACCTGTTCATAATCCTATTTTTTACCTTCTTGGCTGTAACAGGAAGTAGAAGATGAAGACCCTGTACCAGAAATAAGAAAAGACCACTTTGAAGAGGCTATGAGGTTTGCTCGTCGTTCAGTCAGCGATAACGACATCAGAAAATATGAAATGTTTGCCCAAACTCTACAGCAGAGCAGAGGATTTGGTGGCAACTTCAGGTAAGAGGATTTTTGCATTTTTCAGTTTTTACAAGAGAGTTTTAGATATTAAACCAATAACCAATGTAGCACGGCTCGCCATGTCAAAACGGAGCTGTCAATCATCTTTGGCTTATGCAAATAAGGCTTTAAACATGCTCGCTCGTAAAAAATAGACAGTTGAAGGTGTTTAGGTAATTGCCCTATTTCACTATGACGTCACATCAAAACAATCTATTGTTTAAACGCAAAGGATCATGGTCGTCGGAGGGGGTCAAATCAACACAAATTCACTGTAAATCCTTCTAAAACCCGTACAAATCCTCGAAGAGAAGTAAAATAGCCAGCAAACGCTCAGAATATTTTTTAGTACATATTAACACATATTATATCTGAAAACCAGGCCATTTTAGATTAAACTGTTTGGCTAGGAGCAAATTTTGTTGAATTTTCTATTGGATTTGGCGATTCTATCCCCCACATAAACAAGCAGTGACATCATAGTTATAGTGATAGTATTCTTTTTAATTATTATATTCTTAATCCATTTTTTTTAGATTCCCAAGCCAAACCGGAGGCAGTGGTAGTGGATCCCAGGGCGGGGCAGGAGGATCAGGAGAAGCTGATAACTCCAATATCTATGATGATGGTGACGATGACCTCTATAGCTAGGCTACTACTGTACATGGACATTAACAATCAGTCGATTAGTCTGGTTAATATTTGATGTCAAATATTATTTTTTTTGTAGAATGTTTAAAGATTTTCCATTACAGGACATTGTGGGGTGTTTGACTACATTTTTTTCCTCATTAATATAATTATGCACAGAATCAAAATATATGGTGACCAATTTGAAGAACTATCATTCTGTACTGACTAGCCTTGTGTTCACTCATATACACACAAGTTTTTTCACATGTATGAGAGACTAGTAAGTGCAGAACAAAAGTTCTTCAAATTGCTCGCCATATTTTGATTTGGTGTATATTATTATGACTTTGTATGAGTATGTCCCRATTAAGAAGCAAGACTGTTCTTTATGTTCATCCAGAGAGAGAAAAATAACCATACAAATAAATGAAATTAAAGATTTTATGGAGTGCTGTAATAACTTTGACAAACAGAAATATTGAAGATTAAAAATCTATCTTTGAATCAGGATTTATTTTACTTAACATTACCCTGCATTTATTTATTTTTGATTAGTAGATTCATTAATTCTTTCAAAAGTAATCCAATCTGTGATCTAGAGTACTTTTCCAAGACCGTGAAACAGTTTCTGGTAGTCAAGTGTATAATAGTCAAATAGACACAAGATCTACTAACCACTATTGATATAAAGTGGTCAATAATAATAATAACTTTATTAATGTCTCTAATTCTTCTAGCCGGGCACAAGCGCCCTACTAATCGGGGAGACAATAAACCTCTAAAATATATATTAGACTTTTAAAATACTTTAGTCAAATCCAACTAGCGGTCTAGCGTCAATGCTGCGTTCCGATTGGATGAGCTACTAGTAGGCTATACACTGTAGTTATAGCCTAAGATTGAAATTAAATATTTTTTTATCTAAATATTTGACTGACTYGTTGGATATTGACAAACAATTAGTCCTCTTCTCCTTATGGCCTATGAGTCCATATCCCATTCGACCTTCTGCCTCATAAGCTATTGACTTGTAGCCCATTTGAGCTTGAGGACTAATTGCTAATTAGTAGACCCTAATTCCATTGTTTTCGTTTGTGTCTATTTAACTATTATACCTTGACTAGTATTTTTTATTTCATGGGTTAAATGCCTTCACTCTATTAGTCTTCTAAGATAACTATTTTTGTTACAGATCAATACTTCCTCATTCTTAGTTTATTTGACATAATTTAAGTAGCTTGCGCTAATACTTATTGCAAATCGATCTGTTTCATTCAGCATTTAGATGTCGTCATTAAAGACTGGCCGAGTCGTTGTAAGACTAACTTTAAGATTCTATTTAATAAACAACACCAAGACCTTTGTGGTGTGATCCATTGATTGGAATCAATGTTGCCTTTATTTGCCTTTATTTAATGAAAGTGTTAACCAGGAATTCTGGGATGCCTGTGGTTAGTTAAAAAGTAGCCCAATAGCCAATAGGGACTTTAAGATTTGCAAAATCTATGACAGCGACTTCTACCGGAAGTGTAAATAACTTCACTTTGGGGATTCGCGCCTTCAAAGTCTGTCTTCCCTGTGGATGAGTTGACTTTACTGACAATGTTTTGAATGAAATCTCCAATGAACAGGACTCCAAAGAGGAATTATTTACACTTCCGGTTGCCATTGCCATAGTAGATTTTGCAAGTCTCAAAGTCCCTAATGTGCATGAGCACTAATCTCTAGAACCAAGCATGATGGTAAACTGAGTACTTGTGCTTTTTCCGCTCATCTAAAAATCCCTCTGACAATTTTTCCTTCAACATTTTCTGTAAAACTGTAAGTATTTCAACAGACGAAAATAACAGAGTAACTTTTTTCTGATAATTCTCCATGTCCTGATGTGTATAGTAATTGGTTTTCTATCACGCTTTGTGCTAGAGATTCCTGCTTGTGCACATTGACTATTCTCTACTTTCCCATACCAATAATACTTTGCGGCTTTGGGGGAAAACACACTTCTTTTGCTGATGGCTGATCAGACAATGTTGAAAATACCTTGCTTGATATCCAAATATAAAATGAAGTAGTAAAARACAGGAAAAAAGAAGCTTTGAAGAAGTTTAAAGTAAATGTTAAAAAACAATTCATAAGCCAATACATTTTCTGCAACTACACCAAACCTCTTGTTCCGTACACGCAAAATTAACTGGGAATAGTAAATAATAAAAAATAAAAACAATAAATGGGATTTAGCAGTGGCATTCCTACAGAGTAGCTATTCATCCACTGTAATTCCAATTGGATTTTTGCGGAGGGAGGAAAGCCGGGGAACCCAGAAAACCATCGAAGCACAGGAGAAAACCAAAAAACAAAGCAGGTATATTATATATTCAATAGAAGAACGTTTCAATTCGGGACAGTTTTTTGATTGGTTACCCCCAAGGTGCAAAGCACTATGACAAAGTAGAGATACCAAAAAAAAATTGAAATATCGAGATGAATGTAGAGATCGAGTCGCTTTCTATATCCTTGCACTCCTGGACACTTTGTCATACACTTCAGGAAACGCCTTATGACAGTCCAACTCTTTCCTCAGCTTGTCGTAGAGGGTGTGGTCAAACATTTGACGAAACTCCTCTCTCGTCATGTATGAATCGGCATACAACATCTGGAACCTAGAAATCAATATTAGATCGTGACAGGTCATAACATTCCAGTTTCAAATTCTCAGGTACTGGTCAAAGTTAAAAAAAGGAAAAACTGGATTTGAAAGAACTTATTTCCTGTTGACCGACCCATCTCCAGTTTCCATGGTATCACAGTAATCTTTAGGGTATTTTGACATCTTTGACACAATGTGAATTCAATAGCATGATAAGTTCGACTTACCCATGAACTTCTCTCACAAAAGCTTCCACATTCCTCAAACACCTAGTGGCATTGAAGTCCTTGACCTTGGGTGATCCATAACCACCAATGTCCACATACATCTGGCCTTTAGCTCCTTGGGGGTGAACCATTCCAGGGATGCTTGGAAGATACATGGGGCACAGCCACAAGGGATAGAGCTACAAGATAGTAGACACTGTCGTCAGAGCACAGCTAATTATGAAATAATAATGACGATGATGATGATGATGGTGGTGATGGTGATGGGGACGATGATGATGGTGGTGATGATGATGATGATGATGATGATTTACAAGCATGGTCAAACAAAAAGCATGTTTGCTTACATTATCAGCCTAGAATGGGAGCTGGGATTGACCCTTTTAAGGGTTGGGACAATGGGATTTCATACACTGGGAATGGGAATCACTCCCCATCTAGCAGAGTCTTTCCTCTTTCTCTCCCATTTTTAGGCGGGGAGGAGGGAGACTCTGCCGATGTAGAGCGTTTCCTTTGATACACGGCCATCCACAATTGTGGATAAAYGAAACCAGTTTTAAAACTGCTTTTTAAACTGTACATGTAGTGCGCATAAGCAAATATAACACACTGTGACGCCAAACGTTGTTTGACAAGGACGGCTGTCAAAATCATGACAGGGTGGACTCATAAATAGCAGAAACAACTCATTCTCATTTAACAAAAGAGAATCATTGTTTATGTTTTTTATATCCATGAAGAGTTCTTTCCTTAGATGGGGATGAGAAATGGGATTAGCCCCNCCCCCCCCCCCCCCCCTCAGTACCCCCTTGTAGTTTATTAATCCCTTACTTCAAACTCCTTATGGAAACAGCTCAGTGCTTGCGCTAGTGTTTCTATGGGAACCAACATGTCCTGTACCACATGATGCTGCTCATACAGTCGGCGTAGTATCTCCCCTTGGGTCAGCTTGAGAAGGGATATCTTTGGCGGCATGGTCCATCCCAGTAGACATCTCCAAACAACATGGTTACCAAATGGTATTATGTCCTATGAATGAAAAGTTACATGTGAGAGGTAGGAGTGKTTTTTTTCCTTTCTAGGTAATCACCATTATATATTATCAACCTCATAAAATTGTCACCACCAATCAATCAATCAAGAAAATAATTGGACAGTTACCTATATGGGATTAAATGAGAAGCTGTATAATTAAAAAGATAATTACGATACATTTATAATACAATGGATGTGAATTTCATGTAAACTATCTTTCTCAAGGATAGTAGGCAGGCAAAAGAGAGACCGAAGGCTTATATTATTGGGCTGCTTATGTATAGCTAAAGTAAAAATTAATGTATATTATGGTAATTACAATGAACAAAGAGGCACAAAGGCAAATATACTCAGACAGATTTTGATATAAATTAACAATAATCATATTAATTAAATTGCAAGAATGCAAAGATTGATTAGCTATTTATAGAGAGCATATAATAATAACAAAATTGGTAATTATGACCATCAAAAATTGTCATCATTATCTTTGTCATCATCATGATCATCAAAATCATAAGAATCACCATCACTATCATTGTCGTCATCCTCATCATCATCATCACCATAACATCAACATCACTACGTCATCACAATCATTACCACCACCATCATGATAATCATAATCATTACAAAACCATTTATTACTTTAATAAATTATGAATTGTGACAGCCCCCTCAGGGATAGCCATTATCTTAGATGAAAAAATAGAAAATAAGTACATGAGCTGTGACATGCTACCATTAACCAATCAGAAAGCAAGATTGATAACAGTTATTCTATAAAATCACCTGGAGCTCCCAGAACAAACTTCTCGTATGACGATGGTAGTAGTGCCGTAGAGGGATATACTCCACTTTTGTTTCTTTCGCCTTTAAATACTTTTCCACATGTTTGAARAACCAAGGCTTCCAGAAATATCCGATGGCATTGATCTGCATGAATGAGAAAAAATGAAAATTGAATGGAAAAAAGAAAAAAGGGATAGAAAAATGGACTAATGTGTAGTTCCAGAAATCATCCATACCTACCCCACAGAGGAATTTGGAATTTCCGAAGAGTGGGGAGGGGGGTGGGGGTCAGAGAAAGAACAAAAATTACAGAGTTTGTATGGAAGAATATTGGAATTTCCAGGGGGTAGGGGGGTGTCTTAAAAAAATTTCATGAGGGGGTATGGATAATTTTTGGAACAACACAATCAATAAATGGAAGGATATGACAGAATGATGAGCTGCTTTGCAGATGGGATTGGATGAAATGGATGAACAAACAAATTTAAGATGGGATATACTAAACCATAACTTGATGATGAATGACAGATGAATGAGTTGTTTGGTGGATGTGATGAGATGGATGAAATGCAATGATATGGATTGAGTGAATGGATAGATAAAATGGATAGGATAGGATAGGATAGGATAGGATAGGATAGGATAGGATAGG